CGAATAAGAACTGAATTTCAATAGTTTTTTGAAGCCATCAATATTATTAGTGAAGTTCTTCGCAAATTTAAATTAGTTTTATCAGTAGGACTCACTTATGACTTGTAGTATCTTTTATCCTTTGCTCTGATCCTTATTCGTTTTTAATCTCTTCCCTGAGGAACCAATATGAATCGTTTGGTTAAAACTGGAATGGCTCGAATTAATGTCCACTTAGTATCAATAAAAATAAACCGCGTCGTTTTCTCCTTTTCTTTTTTGCTTCTTGATTTCTTCAACTATCCAAACTATGTTTTAGGCTTAACAAAGCAACATCTTCCAAACTAGTAAGGTTTGGAAGATGTTGCTTTGTTGGAAAAATTTAAACTTCATACTCCTCATTTAATTTACATAATAAACAAATTGATATCCCTCAAAAACAAACGGCTGTTTCTTTCGTTTATTAATTATCAAAGAGTTCCTGATGGATTGAATCCCCATTGAAGAAATTGTTGATCAGAGAGATGAAAAGGCTAGCTGTTTTCTAAGGATCCTATAATAGAGAATGCTCTGCAACACGAAATGCCCTAGATAGCCCTCTGTAGGATGATAATATTGTTCGAAGTGTAAAAAACCCACCACAAATTTAGTTCCAGGAAAATTGGACATGATATTGAGGTTGTAACAATGAAAATATTGCTTAAATTTAAATTTTTCGAAAATCACTCTGCCGAGAATTTAAAAAACTTCACCGACTTGAAAAAATGAACAGTAATTTTGATACGGAATTTCATCGGACAAAAAGAGCAAGAAGTGCCTTCTTCAATTTACCAAAAATAATTTCCATCTATGACAATGAATGAGACATCTCAGCGTGTCAAAGCCTTTTACTCTCTTACTTTAATATTCTGAAAAGCATGAAATACTAAGCTTCTTGCAAAATAAAAGTCAGAAATGGATCGATGATTCAACCATTGTACGATGCACTGTGGATTTCAGCCAATGGAGTTGAAGACTTGCGGCTCCGCTTTGAAATGATGAAGGCATTCCATATAAATGGTATCTCAGAAAGAACCACAGGGTCTGATTATGTACTAATTACGCAGCAGAATCAATGGACCAAACAAAAATCGACAGGCAATTTAATGATCATTGGACGAAAATGATGGCATAAATGTTTATGAATTGCTAATTTGCAATATTTCATATCAACAATGTTAACAGATATTGTCTTGAAGCAAATAAGAAGGAAAACTGGAGCTTAGGTTGCCAAAAAGTATTCAAGTTTACTGACGAGATTCTCTGAGAGTATCATTTTGTTTATTCATCCTTTACTTTACTTGATTTTTACTATTGCTAGTTAGTACTTTTGATTTAAGCTTCCTGACAGTCAATTGGGTAACATTTCACTTTAATTTTTTGCAATAAAACGAAATAAAATATTATGCAAAGTTCTTTCTAATAGACAAATGTGTTGACTTTTGTTATATCATGTCCGTATTCGAACTAATTAGCTCTTTTCTTTGATATGCTAATTTATGGACAAAACGTCAATACAAGAGATCTTTATGATTACTCAAGCTTTACTGTTGCACTCTGTCAATGTCCCTGAGAGGAGACCGCTGAGCCTCGCTCTATTCTTGCAGGCCATTAGTTCAGACCTTAAATATTCCCTATTCTTCCTCTAAAAGTCAGACTAGTAAAATTTCCTTCCCAATGTTCTTTACTGATTATAATTGCATCGTTTTTATTATTCCCTTGGCAGATGGTCTGTTTACACATACATATACGTCTGTTCTGTTTCCAGTTTCCAAACAAAATGTGCAGTGAGAAACAAGGATATTGTGTCCTACTTGTTAAGGGTTGATGTGAAGTGGATGGTAGAAGAGAGAAAGAGCCAGAAGTTTGACAGATAGTATGTTAAAGCATTGGTCAACATGCGAGGAGGTGATCTAATGTGACCAGAGCATCTTTCTTTCTCTCTCCTTTCAATGTGCTCTTCCTCTGATGTGTTGCTCATTATTTAATGATAGTGAGTGGGCCAGCAAAAAAGTAAGCTCTGGGATTCAGTTAGGCTCATTCATATCTGTCCATTTTATTTATCAAGTCCTTAAGCCATTTACCTATTGATTAATCGACACACTGAATTGAAAATAAATAACTGGAAAGATATTACTGTTGTTTTAAGAATTATTTCTCAGATGTTTGTCACATAGAAATTCATATTCGACAAATTAACTGTTCTTTTAAACGTGTTTTTTATTGTTTGTAACCATCTGATACAAATGTATGCGATATCTTGGATTTTCGAATTTCGCATTTCATTTTCATTCTCTACTCGACTGTCTATCAAGCAGAAGAAACTCACACAAGATATTTTTTGTAATTGTCGTTTTGCGAACTGCCAGAAGCGTTCAATTTTTCTAGAATTTGACAGAATTTATATTTTGCTATTGTTGGCAACAATTAATGATCAACATAGTGGCGGCATTGTAGCTACTACGTTTGCGCTCTTGTCAGCAGTCGTTTCCATGTTTCAGCACGAAATGTCCGAACTGCTTTTGTTCCTATGGTTCACCCTGATATGTAAAAATTGTAAAGAATGAATGACAAGAAAGCGGTAGATGGAGATTTTTCGCCGGGGCGAAATAAAGTGAAAAAGTTATTGGAGCGATTCGAGAAGCCACAGACTGTTGCCGCTCGGAATAGTTTCTCATCATTGACAGTGCGGGACAGGTCGGTAGTTGTGCAAATTGCTTCAAGCAGTTACTCAATTTGAGTTTTGAAAAATGAAAAAAAAAACCTCACAGAAAAAAATGATCCCTCGAAATTTCCAATCATTGACTGGTCTTAAAAATTTAAATCAAAATAGCAAGTTATTGTGGGAGCAAGTTGCTATAGTCGCTAAAACCCCGTTACTGTTTAAAGATCACCTCGAAAAGATACCTGCTTTCGATGCTTAAATGGCTAGCTTCATTCTTCTGCTTCGTTAATTAGATCGGCTATGGGGGGTGTGAAAAAAAATAGCTATAGGATGAAAAAGAATTCCGGTTTGGTATAATTCATTCTATTTCTATCGATTTTTGGTTGATTAATTATTCAGTTATGTGTTTTAATCGTCCAACAATGAGTTTTTAATATGGACGACGATATCGTCCGGTTGCTGATCGCATTCCCCTGAAAGACACTCATGATATTGGCGACAGTTCCAGACTTCTCACTTCCCCAACAAAATATTTCATTTTTTGATGCGCTTATAAATACTTCGAAAATATCTGAATTTATTGGACCGATGATAAATGATATCTTTTCTTTTAAACATTTTTGTTCTTTTGACAGGGAAAATTTGAAAGATTGTAGTTGCTTTCCACTTAGAACGTGTTGGCAAGCGTTATACATCGATTCCGAAGGTTTATCAACCGGAACTTTTAAATGAAATAGTTCATACCACTATTCAGTTGAAAGCATTAGTTTGTGCAATAGCTTTGGAAGTTTTTTTTTTTTATTTGGCCTTTGAATATTTACTCACTTTTCCAGAATTTTTTCGCACTGAAATTTTTCTTTGTAAAATATCACTAAGAGGCGTAAAATTAGTATATTCAACATATTTTCTATTTAAAATTACATTTTTTCAATTTCATAACCACAATTTTGCAGATGTCAGCCGAAATCGCGGCATCGTTCTTCGAAACAAGCATTTGCTGGCATCTATCAGAAACGGAGTATTCTTAAAAGGCAGGTTAGGGTTATAAGATTTAGTACTACATTGATATGGTGCTTATGTAAATCTATGAGAAGTAGTCTGTTGACTCTGTAATATCTGTTTGAAATATGTGAAATTCGTCTAACGTTTTAGTACTAATGCTATCTGTTTGTATTATATGCATCATGATATGGAGGAAATTATCTTCATAAAACAGTAACTGTATAAGTAGGTTAATCAATCAACCAGAATTATCTTCTACTTGTAAAATAGACTTTAGGTTAGATTAGATTGTGACCATAATTAAGATTTGTAACTATTCACTATTTATTTAAGCTTTTTTTCTTTTGCTGTAATTCTTCACAGCAAAGTGTATAGTTTCCTGAGAAACTATTGCAGAACTGAGAATAGTTTTAACTTTTTTGATTAGAAGTACTCGTAGTGAGATGGTGCTTTTCCGCGTATAAATTGACCGTTAATGAGTATAATTCAGTCAAAAAGTCATACGGACATTCGACCAAATGTAAGGTCATCGATGATTGCTCGACGACGAGGCGTAATGTCCAAAAGTTATAGCCACGGAGATCAGGTTGACTTCATCTCTGTTATCAGGTTCGATTCTGCGATTAAATGAATTTTTTTTTACTTATGTATCGTGATTTGTTATTTTTCCCGAAATATCCCACTAACTTCAAATGAAAAATTAGATTCTACCATTTAAAATTCCGAAGACTTTGAAATGAGTCGCATAATTTAAATTATGATTCATTATCAAATGGGATACTTTTCTCATCCTCCGTTTTTTACATGAAAATGATGTGAATAAATTAAGATTAAAATTAGATGAGACCATTTTATGTAGTCACTGTCATTTTGAAGTACCTTTTTTGAAGTTTTGGAAAATGAGCTCCATTTTCTTGAAAATATTATACCAAAATGGATTAAGTGCTATTGTGAGCAAAAGAATAATACGATTTATTTGGATATTAAAGATAAATTAAGCAAGAAATTTATGTCCAAATAATTTATGACTTCCAAATTATGGAAAATTTCTAGAATTCTATTGATGAACTCACAGTTCATTCATTTTACTAAATGCCTTGCCCTTACACAGACAAACAATTGAATTTGATGAATAAATTTCTTTCTGAACGACTTAAAAATTGGATCTAATTTGACCGTCGAGTGAATTTAAATGAGTGCGTACTATATATTAAGTAAATCTGAGCGAATACTTTATTTCTGAGATTTTTGACGGAACCTGTTCTAAACATGTCATCGGTCGCACGCTTTTCCTCCTCATTTCTTTTCGGGAGTTCTTTTCTTTTTACATTTTCTTTGCACGATTCAGTCTTTCATTGAGATGAAACTAAAATGCTATTCGTAACGTTATTTCTGACTAATATTTTCCAATGAAATATTTGAATAAATAAAGGACAATGGTATTTAACCGTACGGTTTGCACTGCGAGCTTCTTTCCTTTTTATTTGTTGTACGATAATAAAACATTACATAGTTTTTATTTGTCTTCTCTTTTAGTGTTTTACCTGTAAACTTTGTTGTCATTTACCTGCATATTTCCTTTATGGGTCTTATTCATATATTTAGAAAAATTCTTGTAAAGTTGTTGAGTTTTTATTTGTAATTTATCACTATTAATTCCTTTATTCATACTGTTGAAAATTATTAATTCCCATATTTTAAGTGTTACATGCACACAACTGATACATGAGAAAATTGTTTGCTACTTGAGTTATCTGTCCACAAGAATTATGTGTAATTACTCTCAACGTGGTTTTTCTTGAGCATATCTTTTTGGCGCACATGCAAAGTGCGCCGAAGATTATTTGGTCTTAAAGGCATTCTTGAGAATACTGGACTTTTAGAATGGCAATCGTACTTGAAGTTACGTCAGGAAGTATCTTCTGACTGTCAGCTTCCTTGTTCCAAATTTACAAAAATTTTATTAAACAAAGAATTATCTTACCAGCAAGAAGAAATTTTCAACATCAGGAAGACCTTGGAAAAGCCATGTGTTATTCTTTCCATACGAAGGGGATGATTATGTTAATTTAAATTAAATCGAGAGATGTCCTCACCGACCTTGATTTGTTGCAGCACTGTTGTTCAGATATATAAAAGATCCTCTTTTGTTTAAATTATCTCGATCTAGAAATCCTTCAAGTTTTAGATGAAACTCGATTGACTATAATTTGGTATCTATTAGTTTTTGTCAGGAATGTAATAATTTCCCAGGTTTTCTTTCACTTTCCAATAACTGATGTAGAAGAAGAAATTTCTTAAAATTAGGATTGAAATAATTTACAAATGAATGGAAAGATTCATTTTTGAAGGGATGGATGATTGGTGAGTCTTCGAAATGACGAATATGTTCCAATGCGATACTTAGAAGCCGGTTTTCTAAAAGTAAAATATTTCGGTGCCTGGTAGTGGTGCTACTAGAAAAAGTAAAGTTGACTGCGATTGTTAATGTTTATGTTTGGGTCTTGCTCTCTTCAAGAATAACACTTTGGTAGAGCAGCCACAAATTGCATTTCTAATTCTCAATTTTTCACTCATTTATTCATTGACTTTCACTTTCCCATACAGTTTTGTCAACAAAGTTTTACAATAAACAAATGGGTCGCTTTTTCATTATTCCACATAGTTTCATCTATTGCCGTCAGATGGAAATCTGAACTGACCGAATTGAGTCCACTATTAACAATTGGTTCATGCTGGATTAACTATTATCGATTTCATTAATTAAATGCGAATTTTCTTAGAAATGGATTGATGTGAGAATTCAACCTGATTTTTTTCCTGAAATTTTTCCCTGACTTAAGATAGGTGGTCAGAGCGTTGCTATTCAGCTGTACCAATATGCGATGGCGCTGTCAGTATGAAATGTGCTTTATTTAAACAATCGAGGAGATCAATCCAGATCCGATATAATGGCCTATTATAGTAAGTGCTCGTAAATCTACTCCCATCTACTACTCTTTCTATAGCAGGTTTATTTCCTCAAAGCATGAATTCTTCGCTTTATTGTTATTTACAACAGGAATGTACGTGTTAGCTTTTTTTCCTCTTATCACACCTACTAATTGTTGTGCATCATTTCAGACATTTGCTATTTTTAAAAATTTTGGTTTTTTATTTATATAAAGTTTCCATAGAAGTTCTAGAATGTATATAAAGGTTTAAATACATTAGGAAATTCTTGAAAGTGTTGTTTTAATGGTAAATTGCCAAAGAACGATAATTATCGATGGTAAAGTGAATCAGACTGTTCAACTAGGTTGAACAAATGAATGTTTTAGAAGAAGGATTTAATGTCGCCGTCATGAGTCGCATTGTAAACTCAACTCCATTTTCAGGTCTTATTATCGCACTTGTTAAATTTCGAAAGATGAAATTTTTAGTCAAGAGTTTCTTCCATTATTCGAACCCACAGATTTCCTTTAATATCAACGTACTGTCCTAGCCATAAACTTATTACCAGTGTAACTTTCACCATCACTTTTTTGATGACTCGATAACAAACAAATCGATAAAAAAAAGCTATTACTTATCTTTCCGTTCTTCAATTCTTGTTAATTATGTTGCATTATTTGGCCATTTTGTTCCTCAAGTAAAGAAATTATTTTCAAGGTCGTTACATGTCACTTCTTTTCTAAATTGAAAAGGATGAATACATAATTTTTCCGCATTGCTTATCAGCAAGATATTGTCACAAAAGGATGCAATTGGAAATGTTAATTGACAATATTTGGAGCTCTTTTTCATTTTCTACAAATCTTGGAAGCCATTGATTTGAATTACTTTCTAAGAATAACATTAAACTCTACTATATTCTTCAATAACTTCTACCCTTCACACTTTTTTGTGCTACAAAGGGATCAAATTATTTATGTTTCAGTTTTTCTTGTGTGACCATAAGACAATTATTGACTTACTACTCGTTGTATTCTCTCTCATTTTGAAGTGATCTCGTGAAAAGATTACTGCCATTTCCGTAGTTTCCCAATATTTTTTCATTAAAAAAACCAGCTGTCATATTTTTCTCAAGGGAGTATTTCTTTCTTTTGATGAACAAAAATTTCCTTCATCAAAAATCAGTTGAACTGTATTTTACAAATTCCATTTTCCTTTTATTTTGTTGTCTTATCATTCTCGACAAAATGTTGCACCAGGTTATTTAAACATATATATGATGTCACTGGAACAATTATTAGGACCAAATAATAGCTACAAATTAACAGCAATCTGTGGCATAGATATTTTCTCCATTGCTTTCGTTACTTTTTCTTCGAAACAATGCATTTTGCAAATTGTGACAAACAAAATGGAAGTGTCCCAGCTAAATCTCTAACCTAGTTTAACAGTTGGATTAAAGTGATGATGACGTAGACAAAACAACTTCTTTAATTGATCATATAGGATGGACCATGGACTGATTAATTCGGAAAATCCGATCAGTACTTTAATATACAATGGTGGGAAGCATTCGGTGGGAATCAGTAAAAAATGAAAACGAATAAGTGTGTTCAGTTATTATTAAATGTTATTTTCAGTTCACCAGTTCTTCAAGAAAACGTTAAAGAAATCCTTTCTTTGATTCGTTACTCTGAAAATGTTATGCGTTTTTTATGTCCATAGAATTCAGAAAATTCTGTAATTTGCACACTTCACTACGCGCATTGTTCATACTTGATTTTTTAGGCGAGATATATCAAGAAAATCAATGATAACAAATAGTAATACAGACACCGCGGTAGCTCTTGTGACACCGATGATTTCCGGGAGTAGTGATCACGATGATGCTTGTGACAGGTCGCTGCTTGTTCGGTCGATGTATGCCAGTAGTTCTGGTTCATACATAATTGAGAGAGAGCGAGAGTGTAGAAATCGTCCAAAGCCGCCTCCACCTGCTAAACCTGCAACACTTAAAAATAAAATTGCCTGTGGAGGTATTCAGTGCACCTTTCCACAAATCTCAAAGCTTGATGTTTCAACAGCCAATGAAAGTTTGCCAAAAGTTCTTTCCAATACAATTGATTCATCGAAACGAGCACGCGAAGGAAGAAAAAATCATGGAGGAAAAGTAATATCCACTTCAGAAGATACCACAACAGAATCTAGTTCATTATTCGAAACGAGGCGAATAACGGATTTATATACTGAAGAGTTTAAAAGAGTTGAATGTGAGCCGCCTATTTTGGAATCTACCGAGAGGTCAAATGCCAGGACTACAATTATCAATAAACGAACAAGTTTCATTAACGAAGAAATCAAGAAACCCAAAATGAAACCACCACCACCACCCACTCAGTCTCTTGTACATCCTTCTCACTCTGCAAGAGGTAGCAGTAAGATTGAGACTATACGGAAAAAATTAAACCTGGAGGGCATTTCCAACACTAACCAAGATAACACGCTGAATAATGTAGACGGTGATGAAAGTGCACCACCAAAAGCTCACCGATTTGAGCGCTGTCTGGACAGTTGGCATATACCCAGGTAAGTAAATATTAGTTTGTGGATCAATTCCTCTTCAAAAATATATCAAAGGGCTAACTTTAAACTTTCTTCCTTTTACCAAGTAACTCGGGGACCATAAATAAATGCGTCATTTTTTAGTTTTGTTGGACAGTCAATTTGTTGAAGTTTTACAACCTTTGCATTTGAATGCTCAAAAACCGTTAAAATAGCACGTTTTATCCAATGTCAGTAGCTTTATGATTATCAAAGCAATAATTAATTAGTTGACGTTACGTTATGTTATGTTGCAATTTCTTGAAAATGACATTATTTTAGTGTGCCATCAATACCACCACCGCTGCCACCGGTGCTCTCACCTCATGATCCCATTAACGATGCCATGTATGAAGAAATTGAGCAGTTAACCTATACTGAGGTAAAACGTGTAAATTATTTTGAATCCCGGGAATCGGATTATTTTCATACCACTAATGTCTAAATCTTTATTCTGCTTTTCAGGAAAATGGCGAAATTTACAAAACGAAGGCGATTGATGAACAAATCGATGAAGTTTTAATGCAGGAAGCAAATTATGACAAAAGGTCTGGAAATCATTTATGAAGTGGTCTTTCCATATGATGCAAAAAAGACTTTGCGACACTTGTGACCTTAACTAAAATGAGTATTTAGGTGTTATATGACTCCATCTTACATAAATAAAGGCATTTTCTAAATCTAAATAAACTAAGAAAATGTATATCTACCGGGAAGTGCGGAACCAATGAAGTCTATCGAATTTTTCCCGAAAGCAGTAGATTTTTGATGCAATATTTTTTGGTACCAAGAATTGAGAGGATATCAATAATCAAATAGCCAAATATCAAGCAGTTGCGGAGAGAACAGTTTAAAAAGCGTTTGTTGAAAGTTTTACAATAAAGCAGAGCTTCAAATTAGGCAAAGAAGTATCTTTCGAGAAGACGAATAGTCATGAAAAGAATTGTTTTAAATGTTTTTTGAATAAAAAAAAAGACAAGAAATCGATCTAAACAAGAACAACTGCTCTAGAGCGCCGTGAACATCATAATTTAGTACTTGTTGATTTCTGGGCTTCTGCATTTTTTTCTAAGAACATTAGATCAATTAGTTAGTCATCTGAAGACAGCTCTTTATATTTCAAACACCTATTCAGAATTTCCTTTCTTCAGTGGTTCATATTCTCTAAATGATGCAGAATCGTAGAATGTCAGTCTTTCCGTTTCAAGACATCCATAAAGAGATATGCAGAGACATTAATTAATAGCTATTGCAGTGGACAGAATGAATCTCTTATTCATGAAGAAGAAAATAAATTGAACGATAGTAATGATAACTGTTCCAGCAGCAACCATTTTGGGACAACGCTGCGAATGTCCGATGAGGAGAAATATTACGTGAAAAATAAAGAAGTAATTTTTATTAATTAAGTCACTCCATTAAATCGTTTGTAGGTTTTCATGTTTATTCCATGGCTTCATTTAGTCCTTTGTTTACGTTCTTATTTACTTCTATCAAACCGTTTTAGCGATTTGGGTGACTTTTTGTGGGTATTTTTTTTGTGGGTTTTTGAATGCATGTTTGCCTTCAAGATATTGCGAACATCTTTTCCTGGAAATAAATACCGATAGAGTCCCAACATACATGATGATAGAAAAATCATCGATCATCATTCGTCTTCCAAAATGCAGCGTTCGGGACGAGAACAATTCGGAAAATATTTTTTACTTGTTAACTAAAAATTACACTCCCAAATCATTGTGAAAAGCTTTGTAAAATTGGAACAATAAATCCTGAAATAAAATTTTTCAAATCAATAATTTTATTCCACAAGTTCGTGATTATCCTTTTAATCATCATTTGGAGGTAAACAAAAATTTTGTTCATACAATCGGTATCAAACCGATTATACATTACAAAAAATTTATTTTAATTTTGATTTTTTTTACCAATCGTGAAATTAAGGTGCAACCTCAATATAGAGAAGTTTTCGGAACACATTTTGAATACTATTTTTGATTGACTTTAACAATGAATGCTTTCAAAAAAATGTAAAAATTGTATGAAAAATTATATTATATGAAAATCAATTTGTGCATTATATTTTTATAAAAATTATATCAAAATGGGTGATTAAATTCCTGAGTTTTCTATAAATTCGTAGCTTTACAACTTTATAACTTTTTAGATGTACATCGATGTTGTAACCAGAAAGTCCATCATAACTTCTCGTCTAAATTTTGAAAATCTATTTTTTTTAGAGTAATTTGTGGGCAAATGAGAGAACAGTTACGATGAGAAGACCAAAAAGTGCCTTGGAATTCGATAAATTATTGCGAATTAAATCCGATATTCAATTAAATATCACGAAAAAGGTTTCTGAAATAGTCATATTTCTTTTTGAACGATGAAGGTCAGAAATAATGATTGATTGAATATACTACTCTTTACTTCCCCCGCCTCCTTTATAATTTGGCAATGTTGCTTTTGAACAAACAAGAGTTAATTTTTTCTAAAATGTAAGGTAACTTAGACTAAATGCCACGAAAATGCACTGATCATCCGATTCTAAATACATTGTCCCGGTTGTACTCAGACATAAGCATATACTTAACTCATGCACTTTACATCCCGCACAGTGGGTACGTCTTCCTCAATCAGAATCTTCAGTCGCTACTGTACATCTTTCGGATATTAGTCGGTAAAATGCGATTGGTAAAGGAAGCAACTAACTTTACTGTCCATTACATTATTGAAGATTTGTAATTGTTGTTTGTAACATTCCGACTTAGGTCAAGAAAAGATAGAGAGAACAACTGGGAAAGTATTTTGGGATGATACCCATAAAAATATTTCATTTGTCTTCTTAATTACCGCCAGATTTTTATCCTCTGCAGTCTCATTTGACATTTTAATAATACGTATATTTTACGGTCCATTATTCTTAAGATAGTCAGTGCCATCTTGTATCTCCTCAACGTGTAATTTCTTGCAGTAATTGACATAAATTCTTATTTCTTCTCGTTGGCTTCTATCCATAAGTTTTAATTTTCGATTTTTCAAGATTGCTGAAAGTAAATGACTTGGCTAGCGGATCTAACTAGCTTTCCGGAATCGCTGGAATTCATTTAAAGAAATTATTGATGAAATTATTTAAAATATCTGTAAAAGATATTCAGAATAATTATTCGGTCGATATGAAGAAAATCATTTATAGTATTTTCTTATAAGTTGTCTAAATAGCAAGTGAGTAAATTAAAGGTTGGCCAAATCAAATTCAAAGTAAGCTCAGCATCACAAGAAAGACAACGATGTAAACGTCCTTCATCGATATTATACATTGATCGAGAAAAATTTAAAAACCATAATGATGATAAAGTTCTGGCTAAAATAGACTTTCCTTTGGATGAACAATGTATTTATGGTGATGTTTGGTCCTCGGATGAAGACGATTATATTGGCGCGACTCAGCAAAAACAAGGCAATTTTTAATGAAATTAACAAAATTTGGTAAATCAGGTTGTTGCTATATATGATATTTAATGGTAGTCAGTGTACTTCTCTTCCTGAATTTCAGTACTGATTAAAAACATGTTTTTCTAAGTTATCCAATTATTAATTTTTTGCTGCTGTAGAACAAGCAAAAAATCAATCCAATGAAGTGATTAATGTTGGCATGGAAGCATCAAATGAGCCATTTTCGATGTTATCAGAAATTGACCGAGAGCTTCGTCTTAGATTTCAGACTCACGATAATCTTCCCGGTAAACCTTTGAGATTATACTTATACACCTTGAGCTGGTTATTTTCTTATATTTCTTGTTAATGAAAATAGTGGAGAGTATAAAGTCATTTTTTTGATATAGGACCATTTTAATATGAAGTGTCATTTTGTTACTAACAGATGGTAATAAATAATTAATACAAATGTTTTTTTGAGACATTGTGCTGGAATCGAAGAGGAGATCTATGAGTGCCGATCCACTGTTGCATGATGCTGCTTCGATTACAACCAAAACAGAAAATACATCTGGCGATTGCAGACATATTCAAGACTACGATGATATCAATAATCATGGATTCTGTTGTCAGACTAAAGGTGGTAAACTAAAACCATCGACTGAAGGTTATGAAACAGTTGTGAGTTTTCTTTTCGCTGAGATTTTAATCTAAAAAATATTGAACATAAAATACGATGTAGAAATTCTGTCAGAAAGCTCAGAAACCGGCATGGATTTGGAATTAACTTGAATTATGCTGAATTGGAATTTGTTTGGAAGAGAGCGTTTTAAGCTGTCGGTACATTCAGAAGTGATCTTTGGCATAAGTTGTAGATTTCATCAATTCCGCCATCACCCGAGCATAATTACCTACCGAGTACGTCATCAGGTTACACCTTAAAAGACATTGATCGGTCAATTTATACTGCGAGGTTCGTTTCTTTATCTTTTTTTCGTAATGCACAGTATTCTTCAATAATTCAAAATCTGATGGTATAGTAGCCACTCAGAAAAGTGAAGGATTTCTTACAGGATAATTCCGGACCCACAACCGCTTTATCAAATCTACATGATGGAACAGAATAGCGGGCTGATTTATGAGACAGAGGAGCAAGAAGTCACCCAACCGAATTTTATCTCCAAGGTTAAAAAAACCCTCTTGATTTTCCGATGAAATACTTCACCTTTCATGCTCATTTTCTGAAAGATTCAGATGCAACGAGTTGCTTCGACCATATCAACCGATAGCGGGCGTGGTGCAGACTGTTCTACAACCATTTCACAGCTTACGTCCAACACATCAATGAGACGTGATCGTTTGGTTGCAGGCAGCCATTTTGCTAGTCAACGGTCGTTATGGTGTGAACTTCCAGAGGTGTACCTCTTTTCTAATATTATAAAATTCACTTTTCAAGTTTCTGTCATAGTTGGTTAAAATTGTTGCATTCAATATTCAGTATGTTTTTCTTTCAAAAAACAGTCCTTAATTAGTTTCGGAAGATATACCTTTCGGAAGAGATGACTTCCTGTACTTATTATTTTGAACTTTTAGTCTTACTTTATTGAATTTATAGTTGTCCTATTCTTTTGATTAAGAATAAGGATGATGATGAAAGACTGGAATACTAGATGGTCCAGGACTGCAGCAAAAGATGAGCAGTTGCTTTGCCATTCATAGAAATTCGGTGCCAGACTAGCAGTTGATCTATTGATAATTTATCTAGGATCCAACATTTTGTTAATTTCAACAAGTCTTCAATTCAAGACTTTCCTTTAAGCCTTATTTGACTAGTTTCAGGTAAGAAATGCGGGTTTACTGGAAAGTTTGGATGAAGGTATGAAAAAACTGCAGGAAGCGTATTTTGAAGTGATTACCAGTGAAGCATCTTATCTTCGTTCAATCAATATCCTAATCACCCATTTCATGGCTGCTCCTGAAATGCTTGGTAAGCTTTTTAATTCTTTCTTAGAAATTTTACAGAAAATTGACCAGAAGAAGGTTCAATGCTTATTTAAGCAAATTTTCAGGTTCTAAAAGACCTTCATCAGTGATAACAAATGAAGAACGAAAGCAGCTTTTCAGCAATATATTCGCTGTTCGGGATTGTAGTGAGAAGTAAGAAAGCCATTGCAATATTTCATTCATTTTTTCGTTTTTTGAAATTTAAGTTTGTAAATTTCGATGACTAATTAATTAATATAAAATAGATTTTAATTTGGAAGGTTAGAAAGAAATGCTTGCACATGCAAAAAAGCACACATGTATATAATCGTTGAGAGAAAATTTGCAATCATAGTTGTAGCAAATATTCAGCCGTTCCTGAAGTTTAATCCGAACAATGCCACGATTTCTGTGCTTCCATCCAGAAAATTTGTTCTTTTTCAAGCTATTTTAAATCCTTTCTAGACTTGAGCACTACTGCTATTCTTGTCTAACCTTTCAATTTCGTCCTATGTTTTGAGTTTTTTTAAGGTTATTATCAGATTTGGAAAATAGGCTACAAGAAAGTTTGGTACTTTCCGATGTTTGTGATATTTTGTGCGATCATTTTGAAACAAATTTCGATCCATATGTTAAATATTGTTCTAATCAAGTTTATCAAGATCGAACGCTTCGAAAACTCAGGTTCGTAATTTTATGCAAAGTAAAGTCGATTTAAAAAGGAAAATGACGTGTGACCAGAATCGTATTGCGATTTCACTATCGGTTATGCTGTCATCATCTCACTATTGCCTTTGTAGATCGGGCAAAATAGGGAATGATCAAGTGGTTTTTCGAAAATTCTAAATTTTCTAATTGCAGATCCGAAAATCCTTCATTCCTCTCTTGCATTCAGCGCTTGGAAAGCGATCGTCTATGTCAAGGACTGGATATGCGTTCATTCCTGATGTTACCCATGCAGAGAGTTACTCGTTATCCACTTTTGTTGATTGCAATCCTTGAACATACACAACAAAATCCAACAAACTATCACACTGCTCAAATTGCATTGCATCTAGCCAATCATGTATGTCTGTTGCTTTGAAGCATACAAAATAACAATTTGGTCAGGGTCGAAAGGAAATACATTCAAGGTTGTGAGATTTATCTTAACCAGAAGTTTCTTTTACTACAGTGATTGATGAGAATTTTGTCGTCTCATGTAGTATACGCTCTTTGAGATGGTCTCAGTTGTGTTATAGAAGGGAATTAGAATTTATCATTGTCATTTACATAAGAGGTGATTAGATTGGCTGGTAGATTGCAAGCTAATCTGAAAACATGGAGTTACTTTAACTTTCTGACTGTTTAGTGTTTAAACAAGTTTGTCCATTTGGGGACATGCATCTAAACGGTGATGGGTCCAACCTTGTTTTGAATAAAAAGGCCATCTGTAAGTTGCTAAAAAAAGTGAAAAGAATTTTAAAATAAGTTGGACAAAACGAGCTTTTCCACTTTTCCCTTCATATTTAAATAAAAAAGTCCTTCATTCCTTTTCAAATTTTAGACTGTCAGTTGTTGTAATGAAGGTGCTCGACAAATGGAACGCACCGAGCAACTGCTGGAAATTGAACGCCGTCTCGTTTATAAATCATCTGATTTGAAGTATTTTGCTCAATTTAATGATTAATTATTTCCATATCTTTCGGAGTTCAGTTTATATTTCACACTTGTTATTACTATTACTTAAATCTGCTTCATTTCAGACGGATTCCGCTGGTTTCATCGGGACGTTACTTAGTCAAGCGTGGGTCACTTACTTGTCTGAATGAAAAGCGTTCCAAGAAGCTCTTAAATACTCGTCAACAGTTCCAAAGCATATATATTTTCCTTTTTAGTGATATTATCATGTTAACCAAGAAGAAAGTGTAGGCACTTCATCTCACTTTTCTGATTTATTCTTTTAAAATTAGTGACTTTGATCATTATCACCGATAAATTTTCACATGTCGACTTAGGAGCTATTAAAAGTATCGAAATTAAAAAGGATTTATGATATTTTTGCAATCTATTTATTCAATAACATTAAAATCCCGAAAACTTTCCCATAACTATGTGACTTTATTTTTCATCATCATTTGGTTGAATAAAGTTAGAATTGATTCCTTTAAATTCATTGCACATATTTATTTTTTCAGTAATGGAACTTACATATGCAAAGATTATTCCGCAAGGAGATTTGTCGATATTGAACCGGTTGAAATTAATGATCCCAAGGTTCGTTCTGTTGGTAGAGATTTTTTTTTTTTCAAACTCCATAAATTTTAGATTTTGAGCGCTAATTACCGGACTACAATGAGTAATCAAGAGGTCTTCATATTATCTGCAATGTTTGCTTTCATCAACTAGTTCATGTTGCATCGTTATCCCTATCAAATTTAAACGCCAGGAAATAGTAACTCATTTGCACTTCAATAATTGAATCTTCCGGGAGGTCGACGAGGATTTAGAAACTTTATTGAAGTGGTATAAATAAATTAACTGCGATCATAAAGTTTAGATTTTTTCAAAAATCCTCGATGAATTACATCATACTTATTTCGTAATATTGGATGTGATCGTATTAAGAATTTGTTATAGTTAATTGGTTTTTAAATTCGGAATTACTTTTTGCATTACATTTATGGTTTCTTCGTTGGCTCACTACTTTCCAACCATTCTCTCAATACCTTTTTAATAGCAGAATGTAATACTTTGAAACTACACGGTTGAAATTCAGTGCTGAATGTATTATTTTAGTTGTTGCAGTCCGTGACATCGCACATTCCGCTAAAGAAGCCGCATCTTTTCATTTGTACACTCATGCATAATGCGGTAGGGAAACAAGTGGAGCTTCTTTTGAATGCCGATTCCGAAACTGATCGTGAACGATGGCTGTCCGCATTAAGACCACCTGCTGTATAAATAACATTTATATTTTAGTTTCATTTATTCATATTTTTCCAAAATTGCAATGAATTCTGTCTACAATATTTTAATGGTACTTGAATTAACCGTTGCAGTGTACCAATCCAGAAGAAAAAATCTATGCTGATTGGGATTGCCCACAAGCTGTTGCCGTACATCGGTATTCCCCTGGGCAGGAAGACGAGTTGCCATTGGAGAAAGGCGATCTAATCAATATATTACGCAAAATGCCAGATGGTCATTAATCTAGTTTAATTCAATTAGTATGTAGTTAATATTTATGAAAATTGCTGAATATGAAGGAATGGAAGTATTAACAGCATTATTTCAGGTTGGTTTTACGGAGAAAAAGTTTGTGATTTTTACAGTGGCTGGTTTCCATCTTCATATGTTCAGCAGGTAATTCTTGTTTGTTAGTTGTAAATGAAAGATTAGATTACTGGAGTGAAATCTTTCCCAGGAAGAAAACATTTTTCAGAAATTCTTAATATAAGATGTCGTTAATCTAAGGAAACCAAAAATATGCATGCTATGTCACTAAACGATTTGAAGGAATTGTTTACATTTGTTTCTAATTGACTCTTATGTTTGAAATCCTCTTGTAAAAAAAAAAAAAAAAAAATTACCTCAGGTACTAAATGATCATGTTCGAGCGAAAAACTATCGGCAGCGTTTGCGCGTTATTAAGGTTGTCTTTACTATTTTTTTCTGTAAATCTGTCAGCGATTAAAGTGGAAATTTAAATACTGCTAGTCGAATAGAAATTCTAACATCTCTAAGAATATGAATATTTTTGCAAAAGTCATTCATTTCTCAGGCAGCTGCTGATTTTCGTTTCCATCAAAGACATACGAAAATAGGAGCTGAGGAAAATGTCCGCCATTTAATGGAGCGATTTCGTCGATTGAGTAACAGCAAAAGTTCGCTGAATGTTTAAAATCAAATCAGACCTATTAGAAAATGTGGTGATTGCCATCTATGACCTATTTTATATACTTTATCGATATCAAAAGGAATTTAAGAATGAAGCCAAATCGATGATATATGAGATACTATATGTTGTCAAGGGAATTTGTTCGGCAGTTTGTCTCTTGTAGTTATGAGAGTTTTAGGTAATTTAGCATTTATCTTCATTGAAGGAGATTTGTAATCTAGTCAATAGTTTATCCGCAAATGTTAGGTGATTTTAGTTATCATATCCTACCCCAAATGGATACATCGTTCTTTTTATAAAGGAATGCAAATAGCGCTGCTAGCGTATTAGTGTCATTACCAATTGGTGTTGAATTGAGAGGTCCCAAAAAGTACTGTAATTAATCGTTTCAAGATCTCTGATTATCATTTGTTCCGTATTTTTTTAAATTAAAAGAATTTTAATCACTCCCACAATTTTTTTCATAAGAGCTTACACCTTGTCTTCATATGTTTAATTTTGTTATAACTGCTGTCATTTTATATTTGTATAATCCGAGCCAGACCGGACATGACGATTTGTTAGTTTTGAGTTGACTATTAAATTAGTTATTGGTGTTATTAAATGTAAAATGGAGCGATTCAAGCGTGAAGGAGCACTTTGAAATAGTGAATGGATAGTCCCTGAAATTGGTCGTGTTTGATTGAGATATTATTTAAGTAAATATATTTCCGTTCTTACTGGTCACGTGAATATCGGTCTTCACCATTGCACCTCCAGTCCTGTTACCAAAATTTTATTTTAAAACGAGTGCTTCATGGAACTTTTGCATTGTATATTTACGTAAGTTTACGAATTTGCATAAATTTATCATTCTTTGTACTGCCTTCATTATGAATGTAACAAAAATTCAGCGTTACAGTTCTTAGCGTTACAGTTATTGTCCTTACTATTTTTCTGTTAATTTTATCGGTTTCTGTGTAAGGAAAATGTTGGGATTAAAATGTTTTGTTTTGCATTGAAGGTGGATAATGCAAATGTAAATCATGTTTTCTACGGCAAAGTCAAAAATTATCGACAACGAAATAAAATTATTTGCAAGATTAGTTAATGTTGCAGTCAAAGATCCAGTAGTTTCAGTGTTCTGGAGTTAAGCAGGGCAAATTAGCCTCACGATTTGCTATGTCTTGAGTCAAAAAAATAAAAAAAAATCTTAACGTAAAAGAAGGTTAAGATCAAACAAACATCACATATAGCAATACGATGAAATAAAGAAGAATGAAACAAATTGAATTGAAATGAGTCGCGGTTTATTCACGTCTAAAGAAACGTCGTGGCAGATTACACGAAGTTGTAAGAGTACAGTACACATAAGCAGCGAGGATAATGTTCACACACAAAAATTGTGTTGTGGTAGAGGAAATAGACATGCCAAGTTAGGCATGGCTAATTGTGGGCTGAAAAAACTTGTGTCACCTTATATTTTCATATTATTGCAATAGATTTCTAACTATTTTGTGAGAATTCAGTTTGGATTAATGGATCTTAACAAACCAATTTAAAATATTTGCCATAACTTATAATACAACTCTTTTTTCATGCCTTCCACGCAAACAACGAACACGAAAAAAGATGCAAGCCTTTTTTTTTCTAAAGTTATTCATCAACTTTCATGAAGTTTTTTCATAGTAATAACTTTGAAAAAAGAGATAACACCGTTCATTTTGACTCGTTTTTTCACGTTTGCTGTAAATACAATGTCCTTCAAGTGTGTGACTGTGTATAACAAAGTTGGAGAAATGTCTTTTTTACTTTCAAAATTTCACTTTTGATTTTAAAACAGTGAAGACTGCAATAGAAACCTATGAAAAAATTTTATAACCAGTGAGCAAAATAACAATTGCAGCAATTGCTGCCATCAAAAAAAATATTCCCATTATGCCTGACATCACCATACATGTCTTTTGCGCAGCTGTATATTTGATCTCTAAAGTATAATCTCGAGAATCTTTGAACTTCTTTTAAGAAAATTTGGATATTTGAAATATGGTGTGACCATATTGCAATTTGCTACTTCAGAATTATGGTATAGCAATATAAATTCACTGTGTATTAGCGAAGTTAAAATTGGTCTTCTCAAGTTCTCAATTTTCGTATCTATTTGATCATTTTAACCATTTTCATAATATATTGTACTGAAAATAGCACCCACCTTCTTCTTCATCTTCGTCTACCTGAATAACAATAACATTTTTGAAACAAAAACTTAAAAAAATTGAGAAGGAAATATAAGTGAGGAAAGAATTTTAAAAGAAAGTGCTGGGAAGTTATTTCCTTTCTGCATTGCTAGTTACTTCTTGCTTTTCAACCATACCTAAACTTCTCTGATGTCTAAAAATAGATTAAAAAAACTTGCGGCCAATGAATGATTTTAAAATGAAGATGTATTGGATGAATTTGCATCAACAAAACAAACAACGAACCAAAGCCTTCTTTGGTTGCTTCCCTTTTGCTGCTCCTTTAATGCCTTAAGTTACCAAAATTACTTTCGCGTAGAAAAAACTTTAATTTTGATGTTTTATTTTTACTATACGTCTCGATAATGTATATTTACAAACCTTCGCCTAAGCTAATCGAAGAACTCAGAAATCTTTTTTTTTCCTTCTTGAAATCAGTAACTCATTTTGATGACAAGAAGCAAACCTGAAGGTCCTATTTGAGCAGATCTCAATTCTGTACGATCTTGTGAAGCTTGACTTGAGAGAGCAGTTGGAAAGACTTGTTGTGGTTGAGGTGGCGGCGGTGGAAGAGCATTTGCTGGCCCCAAATCTTCGTATTTATCACCCATCTGGAACATGGATATATCCAGCTTTGTAATTCTTCAGCAACAAGATCATAAACTTTTATGTAAGTGAAATTAAAATCACTTCGAAATCACAACTCCATGTATGACAGAAAATGAATAAATGATAACCAACCAACCGCTTTTGTAGCCAATAGTAAAAGTTCTAAATTTATCTTGCTCGAAATTTATATACAATATTTAATTTTATGACAAGACTCATCCCAAATTTGCATATTAAATTTAGGAAATTAAGTAAACGAAAAAATAGAGTACAAAAAACAAGTAAGGTAAAAGAAAAGATATTGAGCAGAAAAAAATAATGAAGAGAGTAGTAAGATAGACAAAGACCCAATAAAAAAAGGGAGAAAGAAGAGAAGAGAAATGTTAAAGTTAATTTATTCCTATAAAACTTATTTTGAGGAAATCCCTTAGAAAGATCCGTTACTTTTTTATTGCTCATGAATGAGCAAGGATGCGTGAAATTTAATTTTTTCTTCACTTCACTTCCTTTCACTTTATCTTTTCTTTTGAAGTAAATGTTGTCTCCGCAGTGTATATGTTTACTTATAAAATAAATGAGGCCTGGTTCTTTGTCCAATCCTTTTCATATCCATTTCTTCCCGTTGAGACTCTCTTGTTTGCTTTAATTTTAAATAATTTCGAAGTAAGATAGTATTAGTACCTTTACCTTTCACTAATTATTCCTTCACTATTTTTGCATTCTTTGAAAAGTTCGTGTTGTCTGAAATTTAATAAATAAAATATTATTGATACGAACAAATGAATCGTGCGATGATTAATTTTAACAAGTGATATACAAAAATGACAAAAATTTTGAGAACTTAGTTTTCTTCGAAATTTTGAATTTCTAAAAATAGAAAGTTTTCTGAAGAAAAAAATAAAAAGAAAAAGGCTTTCCTGAAAAATGAAAAAGGAAATGAAAAGTTCTCAGAAGTTTTCAAACTATCTGATAATGAATCCATCAGTTTGAAAACTTGTTAATACTTCGCAGGAAAGATTTCAAATAAGCTTTTTATACTCAGTGTTCTAGCAATATTATTCCTAACGCTTTTGCACATAATTTACTTTTTTCTTTTAATTTATTTTACATTTAAAATTTATGCATTAAAATTCATCTCTAAAATATGCTGTAAAATGTTATTAACAACGTATAAAAAGGAGCTGCTTATGATAAGAAAAAAAGTGTGCTTCTGATTTCTCCTAACCGTTAACATTAAGTTTTATCGAAATCTCGGATTTGAATGACAGAATTTTGGGATAGAATCGAATCTATTTCTATAGATAGGTATGAACCATAATTTACCTGGCTAATAAAACTTGTAATTAAAAAAACGCTATTTTGTTGAATCATTGGAAATCGCAATTTTCCAACATCTGAAGCTAATTGGATTTAATTTATGTGATGTATTTAACTTCCCTACACAAACTATTGCTTTCATTTTTTTTAAATTACATTATTTACTTATTTTTTATTTGAATTAGAGATTTTATGTAAAGCATGCAATACAATATGAGATGGAAATTATAACCCATCAATTGCTTTGCTACTTGAAATTATCGCTCTTCAAATCAAGCAATTCATTATTTTTGGAATTAATATCAAAGTTTCGATTTTTATATTTTTTAATTTTGGGGTGGAATTGAATTTTTCTTTGTAGATAAATATAAATTATGAAATTGTAATTTATTTAACCATTAAAATGTGTTTTATTAATAATCAAAACAAATAATAATGGGTCGAACTTGCCTAACTGATTTCCATGGCATGCGACTTACTCGTGATAAGTAATAGTTTCTGTAAATAAATATATTCATATAATTTTTGCGACAGGCATAAATATCATTACCTTACAGTTAATAATAATTTATATTTATCTACACAGAATAATTATTATTATTTAATCTATTAATTATTGACACATCAATTTATATACATTCATTAGTTTATGCTCCCAAGACACGTTAGAACTTCCTCTAAGCTCATTTTTCACTTTCCCCTTCTCTACTTTTTCCATTTTTATATCTGATTCACCATGGTTATTGGAATCTCTAAGCATTGTCTGTCCCGTTGTTATTCGTAAATGAAAAGCGGAAATATCCCTTTTTGATTCGTCGAATATTGAGGGCAAAGAGGATAGTATCCATTAAATAAGAAAGGGAAGGCATTTAATTACTTGAACTGAATTACACCCTTTCATATTCCTCTTTGAAGTAACTTTATATAACAACTTTGAATAGCTTATTAACGTTTTCTATCACATCACTAACACTTACTTTACGACTAAAGTGTATGTAATTTGATAAGTTTATCTAACCTTTAATTATTCCTTAGTTAAAAATTTTCTAGATAAGCCAACTGTCGTTTGAAATTGGCTGTAAATTTCAGAGCAGTTGGTATTTCTTTTGCTATCTTTAACTTCATAACGGGACGAAATGTCAAAATTGACATTGCAAAAAATTGGTATTTATTTTCTCCCATGGTTATTCTCGATCGTTGTAAACTGCTCAACAGCTACAGTAAGTTTTTCTGCTTATTTTAACATAGAATTTCTTCCACAATGATCCTCGATATTGAGCACTGCCCAACACTTAATATGTTGATGGAATATAGTTCGTCAAAATGGTACAAATTAATTCTGGAAACCTTAAAGATAGGGCATAGATTGTTAATCTTCAGGTATAACAAGTTCTTAATTCCTAATTATTGCTCCTCATTATATTTAGAGAATAGAATAGAATAACAAGTAATAACTCTCATCCTAAAATAGGACTTATTTCTTACCAAAGAAGATTCAAATAAGTGCTTGAACAAGTTAGTCGGTTAAAACAGTTTTAATCAAAGCTTATTTCGATTTTTTAAGAAAGCGACATATTTCCTGCAAGAATTCTAACAATCCATGTAGCAATTCAGGTTTTAAACAGATTTTATCACTCTGGTAACGACGACATGGTTGACAATGGCGCTCCACAATGGTTCTTCGCCAATCCAGCACTTATAATCGCCAAAAAGCAAATGAGTGAACGAGTTGTTAATTCACTGCTAAGAAATGCATGGATTGGTTAATTTGCAAGCTCTTCCAGGTTTGAATCATAAATTTGCATTGAGTTGCTTTCAACTAATGATGTAAACGTTCGAATGCAATTACTAGTTCAATATTCACTCCTTTTTACTATGTAAACATGCATGAGACACAATCTTTCTGTTTTTATTGAACACCAGTAATTTGCATGTTTATGTAACATTATCTGAATGACATCTATTCGAGATTCTGGAAGTCAAAAATCCTGAAAGTCACTTGTCTATATTTTTTTCTTGCTAAAAATTCAAGTTTCTTTCACCAAATTCAAGACACGTTTTAGATTTTTGAACACCTACGGACAAACGATAGAGTCGAGAAATTTTAAACCTCTGTTCATTGGAATATTACAACTTTCTAATCACCAGAATAGGACAGCTTTTTAGTCCAGCCAGTAAATAGCACAGCCACCAAATTTAATAAAAAAAGATTTGAAATCCAGCCTGAATTTCTGGACAGATATCTTGTACGCCAACATATAAGTAGATACAAATGATTTCTGTCCCACATTCCCGGCATTCCATCCCGTAATAAAAGTTGCTATCCCATGATACTGTTAGGTTATTCCAAACTCCTCAAATTCTTCTATTTTAGAAGTCATCAAGAATTCCTACAATAATTTGTTGAAACAATCAAATATAGAAATTTTTTCAATGAAGATCAAATTTTTAGGAAAAATGCGAGTCAGACAAGAAACAACTCTTACAGTACCACGCTAAATGATATAAATGTCATGTCTTCATTAATCAAAAAATATTGATAGTTTCCTGATTGGTGTCATCAAAAAAGCCCCTCTCGATTTTCTTGAATTTGACACTGCAAGGAAGTAATTTCTGCTTTCGCACAAAGGATTTGTAGTTGAGCCTTATCTTTCTCGCTTTGTTTCACTTTCTGATCAGTCAAGACTAATTGAATGCGAAGCTCAGATATATGACGTTGACACTATAACTTTAGAAAACTAAAACTGGAGGAAGACATGAAGAATTTGAAAAATCAGTGCATAGTTTGGCCCAACCTCTTAAAAGTTAATATTTATTGGACTAAACGTAAACTTTTCTTTCCCAGGTTAAAAATGAATAATTCAGAGGTCGGAAAACCTTTACAATCCTACTCTGAAATCAAATTTGGAATTTAGTTTCAAAAAGTTCAAATGTTTTCGAAGAAATATGCTTACCACATTTAGTTTGTCTCGCAGTAACTGTATCTTGTTTTCTGTAGTCTTCAGTTCATTTTGCAGGTCGATGATGTAATCAGTATCAGCAGAGACGGATGGAGTGCTATGCGAGGTCACATACTTAATTTTCAGAAGAATTTTGAACTTCAAATAAAATTAAATAATTTTTCTGTATTAACTCTTTGGACGGGTGAATCCTGCACGAGAATAGCAAAGAATATTTTGGATGATTTGATAAGATTGAATGAATTAAATATGAGCACTTACTTAATTTTTTTTCCACCTTCGAACAAGCGTTTCGTGTCGTAAAATTCATCGCACAAATAGAGCAATCGATCTCGGAACTTATTTATAATTTCATGATTTTTTCTAGACCTTAAATTAGGAGTCTTAGCACCGTCTAAGAAGTCTGCAAAAGGTTCTCAACTAATAAGGAACATTTTTGAAAGTTACAAAGTGCAAGAGGAAATGGTTTCGATTCGCTAAAAAAGATAATGAAAAATGAAGAGGATTGTATTACTCTAATGCGCTAATTGAATAAGGGCTAGACTAAATCTGTTTTGTAGCAGAGTATTTTAGCATATAATAAGAAGTCCCACACGACAGCAATTTGTTCCGTTCCAATCGAACTTAATAAGTAGAAATCATTTCTTGCAAGTCCAGCAGAATTGAGAAAATGACGAACCTGATTTTAGCGTAAGCAATTTGCTTTTTCAGACAATTAATAGAATTGTTGATTTTTACCATTTCACGGTCCTTAGCGACGAATTCATGTTTCTCTTGGGAAAAGTATTTCAACATACTTCTGGTGAATTTTTTAGTTGAGAAATGCAAAGTAAATGAATCAATTCTGCAATAATGAAAGTTATATTTTTGGAAAACATTTGTTCTAACAAGAATTCACAATAGATAGCGATGAGAACTGGAGGGGAAGGTTAGAAAGTATTAACATTTTGTATCGCTTTCCCAGTAAACCTCCATGAAAAGTGCTTCGTTCATTTTCGAAAGTTATCAGGAAGAAAAAAAAGCGACTGTATGCGAGGACTTTAAACAACACATCACAGAGATAGGGAAAGTAGTGGGCAGAATATCGGGAGATAATAACGTCCATTATATAAACCGTTCAGAAGTTAGCATGATCTAAAGAAACTGCTTTCTCGCTACTGGTAGTATCATGCAGAATGGAAAAGTCAATATGATCAAGTTTTAAGATGAATAAATACCAAAATGAGTGCAATGTAGGACCTAGTATCATGCAGAATGGAAAAGTCAATATGATCAAGTTTTAAGATGAATAAATACCAAAATGAGTGCAATGTAGGACCTAATCCTTTGCTAAAAGCATAATTACTCTGTTTCACGTAATCAAAACACTGCCAAGATATTGTATAATGCTTCGCTGTTGTCATGTATCGGTGCGGTTCCATTTCCTCTGGTGACATCAATACCAAATGACACTAAAAGTTAATCTCAATGCAAGGTTCCTGATCTGCTACTCAGACTAGTGATGAAACATATTCACTACAGTGTATGCTACAGTGTATACTGAAAATAATTTACGAAATAACAAGATGTAATTATGTTTGAAAACTTCGCTACAACTGTAATTATCAGTTGAAACCTTAATATTTCAGTTTTATTCCAAACTTCACTCCAACGATTATATTATGTTTAAGATTATATTGAGCTTTTGAGCTCATATTTTTGAAAAATGAGTGCAATAAACTTCAAGAGAAATTTTATTGTTGGCTTATTTCAATTAAGGGAATTTGTAAAACAATTATATGAAATGGTCAGGTGGGTAATCACTTTTTTTACAAAATTTAGATTAAAGGAAACCAAAATAACTTTTGGAACAATTCAAAAGCAAAACAGAAATTTATAAATCATCAAAAAAAAAATACAAAGCCAGAATAAATATATCTGCTTTGCTAAAAAAAGAATTTTTCATAATCTAAGAAAATATCATTAAAATACGAATCGCAATTGAGAATAGAAATTTTTTGTAGAAGATTAAAATAAAAAGGATGACTGTGAAAGGGACCGAAGGATATATCCTCATCATAATTTGATATACTTTAAAAAAGCACTAAAAGCTTGGAAATAATTTGCATAAATGAGGACAATTTGGCGAATACGACAGTAAAGTGATGGAATTGAAAAATAATAACCAGACAATAGCAATAAAATGACAAAAAAAAAAAACTCGTTTCATGTTACAAAACTTTTTTCAATACGAAGTGGTAAGAAATTTCCGGACATGCAATTATTTTTTTAAAAAATGAATGGCTTTGATGAAAGTGATCTTGCTTGTTTATGTCAATTCCAATAGAAAGGAATAAAAAGTAAGGTGAAATCAAATAAAATCTCTGAAAGCCAACTCATAAATCAAAGGAACTACGAAAAATCCTATAATGGCGAATTGTCTTTAAAAAACTTTTCCCGTAATTCATAGATAACTTGAATCTTTGGAACGCTACTGGATAAATAAAACGTAATTTCACCTGAGTTGTGGCGAAAAAAAATGTGTCTAAAACTGTTCTAAGATCTCTGAAGTTTCCTAAAACATACTTCAAAAACAAAAATTACGGAAGACAATGCTGTGAAAATCTATTGATAATCACTAGCATCTTCATTTATTTCTGATTTTTGATAGGTTCTGTGAAATTACACAATACAACAATTATGGCAAATGTTAAAGATGTCCGCCATTTTTCGCTTCCATAACTTCTGGATGACAGGAAAATTAGCATGAAATTAGCTTCCCCAGCTCTAAATTGATGGAAAAGAAATGAATGTTTGAACACTCATTTTATCCACAATTACTTAACTGCAATTATATTATCTGCTAGTTAATATTTGGAATGTCGTTCATCATCAACACCCAAGACATCATCGTTGTCATTTCTGTCCAAAAAGTATAACTGAGTTACTTTCAATGATATTGTGCCACGTATCTTTAAAAGAATAGTGAAAACGAAATTTATTTTTGCCAACACAGTTTTTGCCAAATTAGGATTAGGAGACTCTAAGAATTAGGATTGCGATTGAGAGATTAAGGATAGAAAAGCATTTGATGGAAGTTTCTAAAGTACAAGATTTGAAATAGAATTTTACAGATGAGAAAAAAGGCAATACGATATTTGTGATGTGTGAAGGCTGAAATGTCTCAAAAAAAAATTTCCCCAATTTCTGTTTGATGTCGCTTCCACTATTACGACCATCTGAACCGCTGACCTTAAGTGACATTACAGGAATACATAGTCTGCAGCTATAAAACACATAGCCTGTAGCTAGTGCAGCTATAAATTATATTAAGTTTAAGAATTAGAGAAATAAACGGATAGATTACTCAAGTTTTTTGGCAAGACAGTGTGCATTTTGCTAATGTCCAGCACTAAGTATAGACGTATGAACTCAAACTCAAAGTAACTTAAAGTAAAAAGAGCTCAGCAAGTTAAAAAACTCAACCGCCCAGCTAACTCATAGTTAACTTTGATTGATTCTCAAAGAGTTTAAATATAAATTTTTGCGAAGATACCACTCTTCACAAATAAAAGTAAAAACTTAAGTGTTACTACTAAAAGCGAAGTTTCGGAAGGTCAAATTCGCGACACCAATTCAAATGATGACAGTGATACCTATACGAAAACAAAGCATATGCAAGTTAATCGTAATTTGGTTTTACAGTGCTTGCTTTACAAACTGTAAAATTATGCGGCAATCTAAATCGGGTCATGAAACATAAATTGAACACGGACGGCGAATTTTTAAAGAAATTCATTAAAGATGTAATCTTTACCCGTCTAATTAATCGGTTTTCTTAATCACTTCGCACCACTACAATACATCGAGTATATCGAAATATTAAAATATATCAAAATATTCCTGTCTACAAATAGAAATATTCCGATTTTGTTTTTGTAGAAATAATCCAAACCAATGAATGACGAAAATCAAAAAATGAAAATATGGCGCTTTTTTGCCCCGATGAAAGCTCACAAAAACATCTACATCATAATATGCAAAAATTTGGCATCGATATAATTTGACGAATGTTTGATAACGCAAATACAACATTTGGATTTTTTGGATATACAAGGACAACACCCAATCCTTTTATTTCTACATTTCATCCAGCTCCATTAACACTATCAGCAAATTGCAGTAAGCTAGCAGAACAATAATCAGTAATGAGGATTTATAGAAGTAATAATAGCCAAAGCGTTTATAATAAATTACCAATTTGTATTCCTGAAAGGGTAAATAGATACTATGAGGGAATGACTGTCAAGTTTGAAAGGGCAGAAATTAAAGGAGTCAAGCTCTTCCACATGGATTTTTCTAATATTTCTTCAAGTTCTTTAGTTGGCGTTTATCTGAGATATGAATTACGAATTTCTTTTCCTCTAGCATTCTTCAGGAATAAGTAATAATGGCTTCGTTGTACTTATTTTATCAAAAAGAAAGCCTGCCTTTCTTGGGAAATTGTTTTTCTGTTGATCGTTTTTCGGTGATACAGATTTATTCAGGGTGTAATATTGTTCTTGCACAATATTACTAGTTAACAACAAGAAAAAGGGTATAAAATAGGTATGTATATAACACGATGAATTGGTTAGCAATGATAAACGAGTTATAAAAAAAGCAAGTAATATGATCAACTAGCAAACTTCTTGTCGTTCCCTTGGACAATAATTTGACTGTCGGTTAGTTGATAGGTCGTTGAGTTAGGAATACGTTACGGGAATGTATTTAGTGAATAGAAGAATATCGTAGTTTGTTGTGCAATGGTGGCGGATATGCGAAGATATCGTTGGTTGTGGGTTACCCGCGGGATAAGCGATGAGGATGTATTGTCTGCTCGATTGTAAAAGTGAACTCAACTGTCTGTCTCGAGATTTTTTCATATATATACATATAGGAGGAGCTTTGTAAGCTCCATCGGGGCTATCATAGAGGTATGGCTACCCTTTGGCACTGTCCATTGTGTAGGTACTGAGACGTTTTTGTTTACGCTTTCCATTGTTAGCTTATATCCTCTTCATTGCTTTAATTTTACTTACAAGATTTCGACACCCCGTGTTGTG